ATGAGGGCTCCCCTCAGCCTCCTCTGCTCCAGGCTGAACCCCCCCAGCTCCCCCAGCCGCTCCTCGTAAGACTTGTGCTCCAGACCCCTCCCCAGCTTTGTTGCTCTCCTCTGGACATGTTCCAGCAGCGCAACGTCGTTCTTGTAGTGGGGGCCCAAAACTGAACACAGTATTCAAGGGTGGCCAAAAAAAGTTTCTTTCCAAAAGTTTCTTTCCAAAGGATGGCAGAGGAGAGGCATTACCTAGAGGAGCTCCCTGCTCATGAATCCACAGGGCTCAAGATAATCAGTTATTCAGACTGAGCTCTGTAGGGAGACTCCTCACAAGCTCTCCCTCTTTGGAGTATCAGGCATGTGCAGGTGAAGCACTGAAACATCTAACAGGCAACGGAGGAACAACGCGGCAGGTCTCACACAGTTATTTTACCTTTTGGTGACATGAGGTCGCCTCTTAGTTGCAATTTGGTTAAGTCTTGCAGCTGACTTAAAGAGGGAAAAAAAAATAATTAAAAATATATATAGCAAGCATGAAAGATTAAATATATATATATAAGAAGCACAAAGGATTAACCTGTATAAAATACAACTATCTAAAGGCTATAAACTATATTGCAATTATTTATAACAATGATAAAAAGGGATTTTTAAGCATGGAGCTGTGCTGTGTCCGCTTTGCTTCCACGTACCAGCAAGAACTTCCTGTGAACAGCATGCAGGAGCACAGCACAGTCTGGACATATTCTGCTGCTCTCCTCTTCACGGAGCAACACAAATCCTTGAAATGCTGCGCACCGGACATGGGCAGACATTTACAGTAGAACCTGTACCCGCAGAGGCCTCCACTCACAGTGTTTGCTCCGTTACATTTTGAAGACAGGCATTGAGCTTGTTTGGACTCCAGAAAAGTTGAGACAGGTCCGGCTCGCCACTACCACGCTAGCCAAAGCAGCACCAACCCTGGCATCAAAAGATTTACCTGCTTCTTGGGTTTGGCAGCCCACACTGGCCAGCACTAAGGGTAACTGAGATGGCTATAGCTCCTTTTGCCAGTCTTCGCTACTCTGCGGTCAGTGCTGCGTTACGGGCACACTGCCTAGTCTCTACTGACCTCTCTGAGGGTAACTGGAAGAAAAGGAGGGGGTTTTACACAAGTTTCAGTCTTGGTTGGTGGTAAGGAGTCTTAGAGCCTCTAGAGAGGCCCAACCACGTCTCGCAGCCTGGTATAACAAGCAAGCAAGCAGGCAGCCATTCAAGGAGGCAATCCACTCACTGCTGCCAGAAAAGGGATATATAATGAATTAAAAAAACCCCCAAAAACCTAAGAGACTGACAGAGTGCGGGAAGAAGGGTAAAGATTTCGATCTACTCATGCAACAGCATTTGAAATTCCACTGCCATAACCTTCTAGACAACTTCTCCAACATGAAAAGAATTGTAACACCCTTGTGTCTACCCAGGCTAGACACGAGCTGGGGAAGGACTGCAGCAGCAGACGCCCTGCAGGCTCTGCCCAAGAGCCTCTCAAGCACAGGGCGGTGCTGAACCATCCCGACAGCCCCAGACCTGCCGCCCTTCAGTTAGGTAACCAGCTAACCTGCGTCACCGCAGCTAAACGGCGAGAGAGAGCGCGGTGCCCTCCATGGGGAACGCAGCGCCCAGGAAAGGCGGGGAGCACACCCTACACAAGCCAGCGGGACGCGGCACCCACCTTCGCCTGAGCATTTACCCCAGGGTCACCTCATCTGGTCCTGCTGGGTCCGCAGCTCCGGCACCGCAGGCGCCAGCGCGGCTGGGGGCTGCTGGTACGGAATACTGTACGAGCGGAGTTTTGCTTTCTTCACTTTTTGTAAGTTTAACCAAAGACTACCCCTCTTTGGAAAAAGCTAGCTAGCAGCATAAACCCCCAGGTTTTTGTGCAGGAAGGGTGGTGCTGATGTCTCAGGAAGTTTCCGTGGCCTTCCTCACACACCTGCCACCATTAGGGAAGGGTTTCACAACGAGAGCTGTACAATCCTTACACCTGGAGAGCGCATTTTGATGCTACTTGCAGTCTATACAAACCTCGTGCAGCTTTAAAGCAGCAAAGAATTTAGCATTTTCTGTAATGTTCTTCAGTCTTTTCCTTTCATAAGCCGACAACTGTGAGTATCCATCCTACAAAAAGAAAAGCCAGTTACTCTTCGTCGTACGGTTACGTGGCCTGCAAGAGATCATAGAATCATAGAATGTTTTGGGTTGGAAGGGACCCCTAGAGGTCATCTAGTCCAACCCCCCTGCAGGAGCAGGGACACCGCTAACTAGATCAGGTTGCTCACAGCCCTGTCCAACCTGGCCTTGAATGTTCCCAGGGATGGGGCCTCCACCCCCTCTCTGGGCAACCCCTGCCAGGGTTTCACCACCCTCACTGGAAAGAATTTCTTCCTTATATCCAGTCTAAACCTACCCTGGTTTAGTTTAAAACCATTACCCCTTGTCCTGTCACAGCTGGCCCTACTAAAAAGATTTTCCCCACCTTTCCTAGAGGCCCCCTTTAGGTACTGAAAGGCCGCAATCAGGTCTCCCCGCAGCCTTCTCTTCTCCAGGCTGAACAAGCCCAACTCTCTCAGCCTGTCCTCATAGGAGAGGTGCTCCAGCCCCCGGATCATTTTTGTGGCCCTCCTCTGGACCCGCTCCAACACTTCCATGTCCTTCTTGTGCTGCCGGCTTTTCACCCACCAGCACCCCCAAGTCCCTCTGGGCAGGGCTGCTCTCCATCCTTTCTTTCCCCAGCCTGTACTGATACCGGGGGTTGCCCCCACCCAGGTGCAGGACCTTGCACTTGGCCTTGTTGAACCTCATGAGGTTCACACAGGCCCCCCTCTCCAGCCTGTCCAGGTCTCTCTGGATGACATCCCTTCCTTCTGGTGTGTCAACCACACCACTCAGCTTGGTGTCATCCGCAAACTTGCTGAGGGTGCGCTCGATCTCACTGTCTAAGTCATTGATGAAAACATTAAACAGCACCGGTCCCAGCACGGACCCCTGAGGGATGCCCCAGGCTTCTGGGAAGCGAGTCTCTACATTCATTGTCTCAATTACTTAAAAGTAGTTCGACATATTTGTAAACAAATGAAACCCCCGTACAAACGGGGGTGATCCCCTATCAATCCCCAAACTTGGCCATATAGGTACTAGCTTGCATGACAAAACTTACTCCTAGCATTAGTTCTACGAAAAGGGCAGTTCATCAAAATCCTGCTGGAACAAAAACAACACTGAAGCGACTAAAGAAACTATTTAAACCTTCAGCAGTGCAGCAAACATCGCACATAAATGGAATACAGTCTTAGATCGCTTTTATCTTATAGAGAGGAGAAGGTGGACTTGACAAGTTGAAATGATGATTTAAATATAAATGAAAATTGACAAAACTGTCATATCTCATGACTGTATCCATCTGTAGAAACGTCTGGAAGGTGGTTATTGACAGCACAAGAACAGCCTGGTGCTTTTGCTACCAGGTTTTAC